ACCAATGTCGTAAAATGCTAAAATCAAACGAAAAAGACCTTTATGACCACGTAGATTTCATGTCGTAAAATGCTAAAATCAAACGAAAAAGACCTTTATGACCACGTAGATTTCATGTTGAAATCAACTTTTTTTTTTTGCCAACCTTTTTTTATTCGCACGCTCGCATGAGTTTTGGGGTTCCAAGGGATGCCATCCATTTAAGGCCGCACAACTCAGTCTTCATGGGCCATTTGATCGCCATGATCCATACGCCTTGTACCCCCCCTCCCATAAGTATCGCTGTTGCGCGTTAATCAAATCCGGCCCGTAAAATGTGATACTTTCATTACATAGACTTGGTCGTTGGCTATCATAATCCGTCTTTCAAATGAACGGGCCTCATTTAGTTTAGCTCATAAAATGGCCTTTTCTCTGTGTATATGGAAATGGCGGGAAGTTTAAAATCTGACGTCTTGCAGTAAAACAGTCCGCTCCGACTAATTTATTAAATCCGTCCCGTTGAATTTGACATGTTTAGTACGTAGTCTTGGTCAAAATCCGTTCAAATGTACTAAATAAAAAAAAGAGAAACGAATGTATAAACTCGAATCGGATGCTAGCTTTCCTATAAGCTTGAATCGGCTGCTCGAATGGGCTGCTCGAATGGGCTGCCGAAAGGGCTGCTAACTTCCAGTTGGTAATGCGGCCAATGGATACAGGCGGTCAACATAAAGTCCCTGGTGTATCCAGAACATGCTCTATCCAGCCTTGTCGGCGATCGGCGACACTCCTGGATATCCATGACCAAGATGTGCTTCTACCTGTGACGTCATGCACGCTGATCGGTACCGTGTTGCAGTCAATCATGGTGATTGACAGGAATTCTTCACGCCCACGCTTCAGTAAGTTTAATTAGCCGTATCTTTTCTCCTGGCCATTGAACAAAAATGAAATGATTTATAAACCAATTAATCACAGATAGCAAGAGAAGCTAGACACGTCGATGTGTTGACCCCCTGATGGAGGTGAGCGAGCCCGTTGTCTAGCTACCAGAGATACAACACCTAAGCTACCAATCAATACAGGATTATAATGGCTGTTGCAGTTCAAAGACAGCTACACGAAAGAAGTTCCTCCTTTTGGCTCCGCCCACCGAAACCTAACGGAGTTGACATAAGGCTATGGCAAGTCAATATTATGGATGACGTCCCAAATTTATTATCTATTAACCAAGTTATTACTAGTATCTAATCTTGACGTACAGTTACAATTCTGCCACCAAAAACGTGATATTGTCAACATTAATAAGGCCATGTTGATTTGATTATATGGATGACATCCGCGCGCGCATAAATTTTCGGCCGTTTGCAAAAAAAAAAGTTTTCAACCATACTGTAAATCGTACAAAACAGTTGCAAAATGAGCAAAAATATACCATAAGTTACAAAAAAAATTAATAAAAACTATACCAATTTCGTAGAATGCCAAAATCAAACGAAAAAAAGACGAAATTGTAAAGAAATGAACTTGAAGACTAGATTATTCGCCAAACCATATTCTGTGCCATTTGCTCAACCCTCATGACCACGTAGATTTCATAATGAAAAGAACTTTTTTTGCAAAACTTTTTTTTTATTCGCACGCGCGCATCAGTTTTGGGGCTCCCGGAGGATGTCATCCATATAATCAAATCAACATGGCCTAATGGCAGCCGTACGATCGGTCACGAATATCACCCTCTCCATGCCGTGGTTGTCTGCCTTGCAGATTCTGTATATCCCACCAGAGGGCGTTTACCATCAAGGGGTGAAATTTGACATTTTTGATTGCCCTCATGATCACTAATAGTTCATAATGAACCAAACATGTTTCTACTCTAGTTAGGAGGTAAAACGTTTCTACATAAAACGTGAATGGGGAAACACACCCTTAAAAGCAAAATATGAAGGAAGTTCAAGAAAACAAAACAGTTACGATAGGAGCAGACATTTTATTTTTCCTGTTCCCCATTTTTTGACAGAAAAAAAAAGAGATTTTTATTGTGTTGTAACATAAGAGTAATATCCTCAAAAAAAGATTATGGATACAACTTCCTCATCATTATATACAAATATTGACATTTATTCATCATTCTGAAATTTTTCCCTTGAAATGGAATGTGGGAAAATTTAAAGGAAAACCATTTTGTGGACATTACATGTTATTGCTGTTTGTTACAAAAATGTGTTCAAAAATACTTTTGAATAACAAAATAGCACAATATTAAGGACATGACATGTTGAAACAGTCTATACACACAGTACTAAAGCTACATGTATTCCACAACCAGTTGCATAGCTTATTACAATAATGTTAAAACTACAAATGAAGTTACATTGAGGCATGATTATCATCAGACAGTTACAAAATTAAGCTACATCATGTACATCTAGACTGAGGGACGAAATGTTATGGTACAACATCTAATAAAAGGACTGCTTACACTTAAAGTATTCTGTTAACCAATAGGTAGACTGTTACAAAGCTAACTTGGGACTGAGTAGTGTGAGAAACGTTATAGTAAAACATCTACTAAAGGGCAAAAATTCAAATTACAAAAAAACATGTAGTGTCAGCTAACACTGACAGTACTTTACCAATAAACATAATAACACCTTAAATTATAGCAAAATAATTCTTAAAAACAGCAACTTGGGGTCACATTGTAGCAGCTAAAGACTTCACACCGTCATGACTATATCCACCATTTCTACTGGGTGAAGCCTGTAAGTGTGCAAAGGAACTTTTCTCCCCATCTGCACTTTTCTTACTCAGTGTAGAAAACTTGCTCAACAACTTCAGTTGACGATTGTAACGTTCATCTTTTACCTCCCGGCTATTTTTGTGTGTTTTAACTACAGTCCCATCTTTCCTATCCTCTATAGCATTTGTAGAAGTTGTACTAGTAGGAGGTAGAGCATTAGAATGTGTGGGGTCAGTTTTGCTCGACGAAGGCTCGAGTGAAAAGAAGAGAGGAAATCGGATCCTGTATCTGCAGGCCATGGTGAGGGTCAGGACGGTTGCTATGACGATCGTCGCCATGATGACAGGTTGCCATGGTGACGGGATCTCGCTGAAGAGCAGGCGGAGACTGGTTCCGGCACCAGCGCTGAGCAGCTCCACCGGCCGGACAACGCACCTGGTCACTGTAGCTGTCAGCACCTGGAACATGTGAGCAGCTGTTAGCACCTGGAACATATTTACTGTCATCAGTTCTGACAAGCTCATTGAATTCTTGACTGGGGGCTAAATAAATTGATGACTGAAGAAAGTGACAATGTTGATCATTGAAACACTAGTGGTTGTTGGCGAAATTTATTGTAAAGCCAAGCAAAATTATATGTTGTGTTTCCATTTATGGATGGTAGGAAGGAACCTCCTTGTTGGTAGGCAGGGGTTTTATTTCAATATTAGGACAGAAGAAATGCATCCTCTGTAAACTGACTTGGATGGCATCCAGGCTTAAATAAGGCACCAGAAATGATAATGAATTTACAGAAATGTAAGGACAGAAACCTACGAGATTTGACTATACTGTTACTGTAAATACATTGAATATGTATGACTAGGAGTTTTCAGAAGTCATCTGCCATCTTTCTCCAGCTTTGAAAAAGGTCGTCATATAACCTACCATGAGAGGGTTGACCTCCCAGAAGGGGTTGACCAGCAACGCCTGATGGTATTGCTCGCACGGGTCATGTGACCAGGACAGGTGCCAGCGCAGGTAGGATTTTATGGACGTCCAGGTACCGATAGTGTCTGTGCTGCACTCTGGTGGGGAAACCCTGCAGATAAACAACAACAAATAAACAAATAAACAACAGGACTTGATGGACGTCCAGGTACCGATAGTGTCTGTGCTGCACTCTGGTGGGGAAACCCTGCAGATAAACAACAACAAATAAACAAATAAACAACAGGACTTGATGGACGTCCAGGCACCGATAGTGTCTGTGCTGCACTCTGGTGGGAAACCCTGGAGATAAACAACAACAAATAAACAAACAACAAGTAAACAAACAACAACAACAAGACTTGATGGACGTCCAGGCGCCGATAGTGTCTGTGCTGCACTCTGCTGGGAAACCCTGGAGATAAACAACAACAAATAAACAAATAAACAAACAACAACAGGACTTGATGGACGTCCAGGCACCGACAGTGTCTGTGCTGCACTCTGGTGGGAAACCCTGGAGGAAAATAACAACACAGTCTAACAGTAAGAAAACTGTGGACTGGGTACAGAAAAGTATGCGTGTACAAGCATGTCTAGCCTTCGGAAGACAACAGACACTAAACCGGATAGCGAGTGAATGAGTATATGCTTGTTTCTGTTAACTACAACTTTCAAAATGGGCACAGATAATTTAAGGAGTTTGTTATATATTTCCAGCTCTGATACACTTAGTGAGTTAAGTTATAGTAAGTTATCTTACGATAACTTACTGCACCTTAACTCATGTATGGCACTATACGCACATATCTGGTACTGTAGCTCAGACTTTTGATACTGTCCCAAGATGCATAGGACATAACATAGGATATCTCCAGCACTTCCACAGTTCCAGCACTGTTACGCTATACTCACCACGTGCACAGTGGCTGCTTTCTTAGCCACTTCTATCTGGTACATCCTGACCCACTCCCACACCAGACTGCACACAGACAGCACCAGGAGGGTCACCGCTCCAACTCTGTACCAGCTACGAACATCTGAACATTCAACCTGGGAAGAGAGAAGGGGAAATGGTCTTAATCCAGTTCAAGTTCAACTTACCGAAGATACTATTCCACTTGTCATATGACAGTACTTTGTGTCAAATCAGGATATGATTTCACCATAATATGTCATTATTGTCATTCTGTACAGACATACACTATTTTGGTCTGATTTGGTAGTTTAGAGTTAATCTATTGCTAATTTACAGCCAAGGACATCATCATTATTATTATTATTACTGTATTATCATTCTTTTCATTACAGTAGTACTAGTACTATTGTATATTTGTAGTGCTGTAGTTACTGTACTAAGTGTCGTTTTGCACATTCTAAAAATCATTCTAATCCAAACCCAACTGACAGTAAATCACGCATTGTGTCACAACCAGAAAGGGAAACAAGTTTCTGTTAATATATGTACCTCTGGGTTCTTTTTCGGTCTGCCCCTCTTGGGCTTCCTTCTGGTGACCCAAACCTGCAGCTTCTTAACCAAACTCATGGTCAGAAGTAAGAACACCGCCGACACGTAACCAAACACACAAATCTGGACGTTTTCGTTCTCCGAGAGAGACTGTAATTTTTTCGTTGCTTGGTGGCGGAGTGAGTCCCAGAGTTCTCTTCCATCCGGTAGTAAGTTTCCGAGGTCTAGTGTGAGAATGGAGAGGAGGGTGTGTTGGGTTGGAACTCTGTCTGGTGATGCCAACGCTGCGATTCTTGTGACTCCGAAGATCGCTGTAAAAAAGGGGGCAACACAGGGGTACATTGTTTTAAAATAACATATCGTTAGATCTTGAAAAAAAAAGTTACCAAGAGTTAAATTCCTAGAGAAATTCAATCCAGGGTATAAGATGTTAAACAAGGACAACATACTCAACTGCATAAGAGGGTGAGGGAGAGAGGGTGAGGGAGAGGGAGGGAGGGAAGAAACAGATGGAAGAGGGAAGGAAGGACGGAAGGAAGGAATTTGGTGGCAGCTAGTTGTTTTACAACGAGCCACCAGACATCTTGCACCATAATTTCTAACTACAGACATATCACTGATATTATAAGTAAACAACACCCCCCTCCCCCATATGATACTAGTATATGGCCATATGCGGTGCACTGCACACAAATTCGGCAGAATTTTGCCTTCCGAAACGCACTTCAACTAAAAACACTGTGTCTAAAGAAACTTCACCTGCTAGTATAACGGCCGGAATAATCGCACAGCACTGACAAACGCCCTTAGAACTGAGAAAACCAACTTTCTGTGTAGACTTCAAATTTTTCCTTCCCGCCGCCATTTTGAAAATAAATGAAAATACTCGCAGGGCATGACGGGTAATATCCAAGCAGATGTAGGGTAAGTCTTGAATCACACGCGTTTTTTGTTTTTGCTTTATTTTGTTCGTCTTTTTTGCTTTTAATGTTCTCTCCAAATTATACAAAATAGACGATAAATCAGATGACAAACAATGATAACAACCAAACAAACAAAATGCATTTAATAAAAAAAACACGATTGACTAAATAAAAAACCTTGCATCTGCTTGAAAATTAAAAGCTTGAGTCTGCGCAGAAGCGTTGCGCAGTCGTTTCGCGCCATGTGTGAAAGAAGCTGTCCTCAAGAGATTATCGTCTGACAGCTCCGAAATTCCGCTAAAATTCCCGGTTTTCTTGTCAGTTTTCGTCAGTTATTGTTACCGTTAGCAACCAAGGACTGTGCAAGGAACCAGTGACCTTGAAGACATCGGGTTTGACCTTGTCGTTTTGTCTGAAGACGCGACAGACGAACTTCTCTCAACTCAGTGACAACTCTCGTAAGACCAGACTGTGGAAAACACAGGAATTTTTCTCCATCTTTCGCCCCGGTAGGTTTATAAAATCGTTATGTTTTAATAAAATATGATCTCAATCTGTTGTTAGTTGGTAAAAATGAGACAAATATTCTCGTGTTTCGTAAAATCATGTGTTTTGCATCTGTTTTGTGTTATGGAATTTTGAGGAAAGCAAGGACAGGGACAAACCGTTGTTGATCGTAAGAATTATGCCGAAATCATCCCAAAACTAGTTACAAGGTTGCAGTAGCATTTCCTAAATTTAGTTTCAGCTTTTGGCACTGTGTTTTTAATTCTTTTGATCATAAAAACTAGAAAGCAAGCAGTATTTTCGAAGAAAAAAAAATGTTGTTGTGCCTGTTTTAGTTCATTCCAATTCCAGCTTGGGGAGAGGTCTACAGCGGAGTCCCACAGGGCAGTGTTTTAGGTCCGGTCTTGTTTACTATCTACGTGAATGACATGCCAGAAGTGGTAAACTGTTCTCTGAAATTGTTTGCGGACGACACAAAGTTGTTTAGACCAGTACCACAAGTACGAAACTGTGAAGCTCTACAACAAGACTTGTCTAGTCTACAAAAATGGGCCGACAAGTGGCAGCTCAAATTCCACCCTGATAAATGTACGGTCCTGAGGGTTGGTAGTGGCCACCCGAACTTCACTTATAACATGTCCGAAAACAACAACCCCTTACCTATATCCCTGAAGGTTTCCTCAGAAGAGAAAGACCTGGGAATCCTAGTAGACAGAGACTTGGGCTTTGCCAATCATATAACAACTATTGTAAAAAAGGCAAACCAAATAATGGGGCTAACATGGAGAACATTTGTACACATGGACTTAGAAATGTTTCTCATTCTTTACAAGACCATTATCCGTCCTCACTTAGAGTACGGAGCCCCCATTTGGTCCCCACATACCTGGAAACTCGCTACAGAACTAGAAAAAGTACAGAAGCGAGCGACAAAGAGAGTACCAGGCCTGCAGGATCTTTCATACACAGAGAGGCTCAAGAAACTAAAACTACCTACCCTGGTCTACAGGAGATTGAGGGGTGACATGATCAACGTTTATAAATACACACACGGGATGTACAATACAGCATGTCTACTACCAATAACAACAGAGAAGAGAACTAGAGGTCATCACCTGAAAATAAAGAGGACGCAGGCAAAAACAAATATGCGCCTACACTTCTTTACAAATAGAACGGCAAGCTGGTGGAATGAGCTTCCTGGGGAGGTAGTTATGGCGCCTAGTGTAAACAGTTTCAAGAAGAGGTTTGACGAGTATATGGAAACACACCCGGTCGTCTACAATTATAGAGCTTTGGACCACCCACTACGTCCAGAGATGTCAGTAAACTGAAGAGCGGCCCAAATTGGAGCAGGACTCCTACCCGGCATGAATCAACTCTACTCTACTCTACTCTACTCTACTCTACTCTACTCTACTCAGCTTTGACAAATTGAGGTTATGGGGTCATGGCCAAAAGTGAAGAAACCAAAAAGATTTTGGCTATTTTTGGGGGCGATCGTTGTATTTTCTTTCATTGTTTCTACGAGATCATAGATCAAGCTATCCCTTTGTTGGCTTGAGTTTTGTTTTTGTGATCATGGAACCCACTTTATTTAAAACATAATGTTTTGAAGCTTTTTTTGTCATCATGATTTGCACAACAATGAGCTGTCCCTCAGTAAACACAATGCTCTCAGTGGGAAGCCTTGTGCATAATCTTCACACACATGTGAGATCAGATTAGCATGATGATGTGATCTTAATCACAGAAATTTTACATGCTGTACTTGTAGTGTGGAATTCCTTGGATCTGAAAGTTGTCATAACTTTCATGTCTGTACCATGGCTGCAAAAATAAAGAATAAAAACTGTGGCCAAAGATCTATGTAAATGATGGGAATATGTGAAAAGCTTGGCCTCCTATTTGATAGATCTGGCATGCATGTCATGTTATGCCTGCAAGATTTTCTTTCCATCTATTCTCTTGTCTAATGGTTTTCAAATTATTGCATTGATCATAAATCAGTTGTCCTTGATGGTGTGGCCTCTAAGCCCACCAAGGTAGTGTCTGGAGTACCGCAAGGCACTGTTTTGGGTCCGCTTTTGTTTCTCCTTTATATTAATGATCTTCCGAGTGTTGTGACCTCTAGTGTGCGTTTGTTTGCCGATGACTGCCTGTTGTACCGGGTTATTGAAAAACCCTCAGATGCTCTTGATCTACAAAAAGATCTCGATGCACTGACCCGGTGGCAGGACACATGGCAAATGTCCTTTAACCCCTCAAAGTGCCACACACTTCATATCACTCCTAAGTGTAACCCGATTATTACACAATACCGATTATGTTCTGAAAATCTCACTAGTGTTAAAACCCATCCATATCTTGGAGTCCAACTATCACAGGATATGAAATGGGACACACATATAAATTATGTCACTGGTAGAGCTAATAGGATACTGGCAGTCATCCGCCGTAACCTTTCGCACTGTCCTCGTGTCAAATCAACATGCTACAGAACACTTGTACGCCCACACCTGGAGTACTGTGCGACTGTATGGGATCCCCACACCATCGGTGGTTCCCAGGCGTTGGAGCGAGTCCAACGAAGGGCGGCGCGAATGGCCGTTAGTGATTATGACTACACCAGCAGTGTTTCTGACATGCTAAAGCGCCTCCAGTGGCCGTTACTTGTTGACAGAAGGAGAACCGCTCGCTTGATATCTTTATATGAAATTGTTCATGGACATATTAATATTCAAATGGAACAATACCTCAAACCTGCCCATAGGCGTACCAGAGGAAGTCATGAATATAAATTTCAAGCAATACCTGCCAAAACAGACTGTTTTAGATTTTCTTTTTTTCAAGAACGATAAATGAGTGGAACAAGTTGCCGGGCCAGCTAGTAAAAGCCCAGACAGTAGAGGCCTTCAAGGCCGGGCTTCTGGCCGCGCAGCCATAGTCCGTCGCACCCCCCCCCCTCTCAGTGATACCCCACCAGGGGTGGTTGGAGAGTATTGAAGAAGAAGAAGGAGAAGATAGCAAGATGAGCTGATACAGGTATCAGATGTGGGGAGGTTTGGCATAACGCAAGAGCATTTGACTTTTTCGAGTCAGAACCAAGAGGTCCCGGGTTCGAATCCTGCCAAATCAAGTCACCAACCTTGTGCTCTTGGGAAAGAAGGCACTTAACTTTCCTCACTTCACTCAGGTGAAAATGAGTATGCCAGAATGATCATTATCATGATCGTGGGCATCAAATGAAAACCAAACCCACAATAAGAAGCACTAAATGTATGCCTGAACTTCTGTTTTGCTCTGTTTTACCCCAGGTCACTGTTGGTAGCCGGCGGCTACCCAGGCCAGTATGGACGAGAAAAGGGCCAAAAATGTGGTGGCCATGCTGCGAGCTGTGCTCCAGAGCTCCAAGGAGGGGGTACTGGCCAGCAGAGTGCAAGGTAAGGACGAAAATGTTTTTGTTGAAGAGATTCATTTGTCACATATAGATACAGTTTCTAGCAGATTCTTTCAACAGTGACAAGATGGACTGATAGCCATCGGAAATTTGGAGGTCAGTATCTTCACCCTTCAAAACTTGTCAGTGTTGAAAGAATCTTCTAGTAAAAATGTTTTCATTTCTGTAACAGTTTCGTTCCCTACACATCACAGCTTTTGAACAGTTTACCCAGACACGTTACAGACTCTTCCACACTCAGGCAATTCAAGGCTCACTGCAGAAACCACCTATTTTGTCCTGATTTTCACCTCCTCTGCCCGATCCTACACTAATATCTTTAGTAACCCTGAAGCCTTCCACCCATTCCAACTTGGTTGTGTAAATTTGATGGCTACCTTCGTTACATTAATTTTAACTGGAAGGAAAAAATATTTGGGATGGGAATCATACCTTTTAAGCAGCTACATTCGCTCAAATGTTCAGTGTTCCACCATCTTGAATAAGATCATTTGTTTCTTTGTTAGAACTGGTTGAACACAGTACTGTAAATTCTCTTAGATTTTGAACCAAATAAATCATGTGGAACTGTAAAAATTAAAATTTTTTGGGTGGAAAAAAATGAAAACATGACGATAATAATCATGGTTCCTGTTCAAGGAAGGGAAATGTTTTTTGTGAAATCCTGCCAAAACCTAAAATTTGAAACTGTTCGATTCTCAAATGTATCAAGGTCTACAGTATTCAGACTATTGTAAGTGGCAAGTAATTTGTGTGGCCTTCATTTGATAACATCTTTGAAAACAACTCACTGAACAGGTTTTTGAAGGCTACTATTTAAAGTTTTCAACTTTTACACAATGCAGCACAATGCGGACAAAATTCTCGCCATTCCTGTGTCATGTCGACAGAGAAAAATAATCTGCAAGTCACGTCATGCTTTAGTCTCACTTTGATATGTGGTAAAATGTAAACTTCAACATTTCTGAACACGTCTTGCACCTTTGACATGACACTTAACACTGTCAGCTCTGTCAATTTAAATGGAAATTTAGGGAAAAGTTTGGCACTGATAAAAAGCTTTGTGGCGGTGTGAGGAAACACTCACTCACTCACTCACTATCTAGAGGGTTAGACTTGCTTGCACAGAAAAACTGAGGCAGCCTATTGCTTGATGGCAGCCTGCCACTTGCCTCTGTCCTGTGGGTTGACATTATGTAGGTTCAAGTGGTGGAAGTCCTCCCTACCATTTCTTCTTTTGTCGACCACAAGGATTTTGGCCTTCCACATGCAGTGTGAGGATCTTCCTAGGCCATTTGTCACTGTCCATTCTTTGGAGGTGGAAAAGTTGAAAACATGCATGTATTTACATCTGATTTCATTTTTTTCTCTGACCATACCAGGAGAGTACCGTGGGATTACGGGAGAGTATCTCCCCTACAAGCAGCTGGGCTTCAGCTCACTGGACGCTTACATGCAGAGTATTCCTGATGTCGCCAGAATAGCAAGGTAAGCAAGGCTTCAGCCTGAGGAAAAGTTGAACTCCGTATGTCATTTGTAAAACTACAGGCTCCCTGCAAAATGTTTGCAATTTCAACCCTCTGCAATAAAGCTATTCTATTCTATTCTATTCTATTCTATTCTATTCTATTCTATTCTATTCTATTCTATTCTATTCTATTCTATTCTATTCTATTCTATTCTATTCCATTCCATTCCATTCCATTCTATAATCTCACATATTTTCATTGACCAAAAATTGCTTGTTCATTCATTCATGCAATTGTTTGCGCACTCACTCACTCACTCACTCACTCACTCACTCACTCACTCACTCACTCACTCACTCACTCACTCACTCACTCACTCACTCACTCATTCATTCATTCGGTCTACTGTTGTACAGAAACAGAGATGGAGAGGTGGTTTACCATGCAGTAGCCGATGCCAGCACCCTGCACATACAGAGACTCAAGGCTGGGGAGAAATCCAACAAGAGGAGAAAACCAAGTAAAGGGTTCAAGGTACGTCTCACTCACTCAGTGGCTTAGTCGGAGTTGGATATGCTTGCCTCTAAGCCTACGAAAAAATGTTGTTTCCTGTTTCATTCCTGAAAAAAATTGGGGTTGGTAGAAAGAGATAATCATAATCTAGAGGATAGAATTGGTCGATCAGCTCTGATTTTCACCATGCTTCAAATCAAATTGTAAACAAATTCACAATGTTAAACTTGAAACTTGGTTACCTCTGACCTCCAGTTCCTGACTTGGTAGTTTTGACATTGGAACGTAATTAATGACTTTAAGTTATGAACTTGCTTTTGTTTTGACCCATCAGATTTTATTTGACTGTTGTCCACCTTTTATTTATTTCGACTAAATTTATTCGTGTGTAGATCTAGTCATGTGTAAATGTATGCTGGGCCCCATCGGAAAGCAGCTTCTACTAGCTGAATAGGCTACCCAGCCATTTTATGATGAAATAAGTAAAACAAATATTATTTATTTATTTCAAAAGCAACAGTACCTTCCACTGATTTTCTGGCAGCCATGTTATTTGGTAAGTCCACAATTATGCATGGTAACTTTACATAGATACAGTAATTTCTAATGAAACCAGTTTACAATTTTAAGTCTATATCTCACTCTTACACAAGTAAGTAAATTGGAAGCAGAGAAATAAACTTCAGAATGGGAATGAGTTTTTTACTACCCGTACTTCTAACCCTTTCCTTGCCTACAGTATAATGTACAGAGACGTCCAGCTCAGACCCACCAGAGGTTCAACAGAAAGCCGACAGGTCCCTACGTACAGAGGTTCCACCCAAGTCCCAAATCCTTCGGGAGCAGACCTTCCTACCTCACCAGGCCTCAGCCAATCATACCCGCCGTTACATCCTACCTCACCAGGCCACAGCCAATCAGGACCTTTGTACCACCCTACGTCAGCAGGCCACAGCCAATGGGATACTCTGTAACACAGCCAAGCAAGCCCCCACTTTTACCAGTGCAGGTATGACTGAAATACAATACTTGGTTGTAATATGATACTTTATTGTAATGTAATACTTAATTTTCATATGATACTTGTAATGCAATACTTTCTTGTAATGCAATACTTAATTGAACTTAAATTATTGAGAACTTGACCAAAATGTATATATAGAATACAACACGGGGTATTCCGTATCGCCCGAGGTATCGGCCCGACCGGCCGTCGGGCGATCCGACTCGCGGGAGGGCCGAGACCGAGGGCGATGCGGAATACACCGTGTTGTATTTTATTTATACCATACCCACCAAAGAAAACGCGCCTTTCAATGCAAGATGAGCCCAAAGTTGGTGCCACTAAACCCTAAAATGCAACAACATCAATTCCAACGTCCGGATTCTGTATTCGAATTTTCGAAAGGG